AAAAAAAAAAAAAAAAAAAGAAGAGGAAACAAATTGCTCTTCCCTTTTGCATCGAGGGGGAGAAAGAAATAGAACATTAGGTCTGTACCTCGCTCTGCAGGATCATCACGGCGTGGTTGAAATGATGATGCTCCAAGGTAGCGGAGGTTCCGTAGAGCTGGGCCAGGGCAGAGCCGCTCCTGCAAGAGGACAGGTGAGTGAGCAGGGCCCTTCGCCAGCTGTTCCTCCACCCCAGCTCTTTGGATCTAACTGTGTTTGCTGCTTTGGGCAAAGGACCACGAGCAGATGCGTTCTCAGGTACCTGCTTTGCAGTTCATCCATCTATCAAGTAAACCTTTCAAGAAGTTTCTCTGTGTTCAGTTAGATGCTGCATATGATACACGGTAAATAAAACACAGTCCCTGCCTCTAAGAAATCTACAGACTAGTAAGAGAGACGAGATGAGATGATAAGGAAAAACAATGCACATAAAAACAATATAAATATGAATACATGGTAGAAAAGTGTCTCAGGTCCAACCAAAGTGCTATAGATACTCTGAGAAAAAAAGACATAATTCCCAGCTTTGGGGATCAGGGTAGACTTCATGAACTAAACTTTTCACGAATATAACCTCTAAGCGTCTTGTACCAAATGTTTTTGACTCTGCATAGGAAAAGACCCCATGTGAATAGTCCAGAGTCCAGTTTATCTACACATCAGATTGACAAACTTCTAGTATGGTTTCCCAGTCCACAGTCATACTATAATATCTCAGTGTAGAACTCGGGAGAGTTCCTGGATTTAAAGCGAATTTCAGCTCTTCCTCCATTTTAGCTTTGGATAGTTACTTGGCCTCTTGAAGACTCATGTAGTACCTCCACCTAACTGTGTAGATTGCACCCTCTCTATCACCGAACCTGTTACTAATGAGAACAGTGAGATACTTTAAAGTGCCTATCACAATGCCTGGAATATAAGTAGATTATAGTCTATATTAATTATTAATCAATAATTAAACAGGTAGGGATGTTTTCATTTTAAATCAATAAAATGTTGATTGATGCCTGAAGGGATTACTTCAAGAGATCTGCTTGTATATGTAGAATACCCCATTACTCAAAAGTGTTGGGTCAGGGCGGCGCCTGTGGCTCAGTGAGTAGGGCGCCGGCCTGATATACTGAGGGTGGTGGGTTCGAACCCGGCCCCAGCCAAACTGCAACAAAAAATGGCCGGGCATTATGGCGAGGACCTGTGGTCCCAGCTACTTGGGAGGCTAAGGCAGAAGAATAGCCTAGGCCCAGGAATTGGAGGTTGCTGTGAGCTGTGACACCACAGCACTCTCTCTACCGAGGGTGATAAAGTAAGACTCTGTCTCTCAAAAAAAAAAAAAAAGTTTCGAGTCAGCCAAGTGTTCATTCAAAATGTCCTTATAGGCTTAGTGCCCGTAGCACAGTGGTTTTGAAGCCAGCCACATACACTGAAGTTGGCGGGTTTGAACCAGCCTGGGCCTGCTAAACAACAACAACAACTGCACCAAAAAATAGCTGGGCATTGTGGCAGGTGTCTATAGTCCAAGCTACTTGGGATCCTGAGGCAAGAGAATCACTTAAGCCCAAGAGTTTGAGGTTGTTCTGAGCTGTGATGCCATGGCACTCTACTGAGGGTGACACAGTGAGGCTCTGTCTCAAAAAACCCCCAAACCCCAAATGTCCTTATATGTTCATTTCCAACTCTTTTTTAGGAGTAAGAGTTAGAGCATCTTAAGAATTAAGAAAGCCAGTGCTGTGGCAGACACCTGTAATCCTAGCATTCTGGGAGTTTGAAACAGGGGGATCCCTTGAGCTCAGGAGCAGCCAAAGCAAGAGTGAAATAGAAAAACTAGCCGGGTGGTGTGGTGGGCGCCTGTAGTCACAGCTACTCAGGAGGCTGAGATAAGCAGTTCACTTGAGTCCTGGAGTTTGAGGTTGCTGTGAGCTATCACGCCACCACACTCTACCCAGGGCAACAGAATGAAATTCCATCTTAGAAAAAAAAGAAGAATCAAGAGAGATCCTAGATAATCCCATGGTTTAAAGGGCAGAAGATCTCTCCAGATCCTTGTGTTCTTTAGACATGGAAAGGCCAATCTGGCCTTGACATGGAGGTGCTGGTGATAAACAGCTCACAGCCTGCCCTGGAGTAAAGGCTGCATCTAAATGCAACATGGATTTTAGTTACAAAAACTAAATTTCCAGTGTGAGGAGGCCCAAGATCATGGTCAGTTTGTGGGTACAAGGGACCTGCAATCCTTAGAAAGACTCAGAGATGACCAATGTTAGGAGAAAAAGTAGGGTTAGGCTCAGTAGGAATCACTATGAAGACCATTAGTAAGGAGGGTGCTGGATTTTAATCAGATATGTGTTATTTCTTTAAATCCTGCCTTAATCCGTATCATTTAACAAGTGAAAATTTGTTAGGCTTAATGTTAGTAATCAACAGTAAATGATGAATGATATTTAATGTTAGTTACTATTTGTCTTACATAGGGTTCATTTCTATGATGATAACATGTTTCAAAATGTACACTATATGCCTTTGTATTGGCTGTTGAAATTCTAGGATGCTTTTTGGGCATATCACCTCTGAGTGCCTGGCGTAGAATATGTGGTTAAAAAAACAATTAGTTGCTTGTCTAATAAGCTTACAATAGAATGTCCAGAGATATAGTTCAAATTGGAAGGTTGACAATAAGTGTGTTAGTGTATTTGATAATATTTAATAACTGCCATTGTAAGTGCCTTCCATGTACTGGGCAACATATCAGCAACTTATTATTTCATTTAGTCCTAACAACAACCATGAAATTGGTATTATTTTCCCATTATACACAGGAGGAAACCAAGGCTCGAAGAGTTTGGTAACTTTTTCCAAGGTCACACAGCTAGCTAGATTTGAATCCAAGTCCTAGATTCGAATCCAAGTTTTTAAGCTTCCTATTGTGTAATGAGAATGACAATTATAAAATTGATTTTTGATATTCGGTCCTCTATTTTTACCAAGATGATTGTCATCAGTAAAGAAGAGTTCAAAATTTAATCCAGAATTCCACTCATGTAACTGTTAACCACAGGCTCAAATTCCTGTGATTTGTTTCTATGAGCCGGCCATGCTTAGATAGATCTCACTTACTAGTGTGAATCTTTATGACAAACTTGGTGATGTAAGGTAGGCTCCAGATGCAAAATGTTCTCTCTTCCTTTATTCACGTTGGTTTAACAGAGCCCACAAAAGGGACATAAGCTAGACAATCCCAAGTCACTTTGTATAGTGTTTTCTTTGCTCAGGGTGAATAGGAGATGTTTCCTCCTTTAACCAGGGGATACCTTATAACAAGTACTCCGAGGCTTCTTATGCTGCCCAGCCCCTGCCCTGACCATATCGCTTCTGACCTGCTATGTTTTAGCTCCTAGTTATTTCTGCAACGGCAGCCACGTGACTGCCCAGGGGCTGAGCATCTTCCTCATCAGATACTCTGTGTGATCCCTTCTGTAATTCCATCTTGCGTGTTGCCTCCCCTCACACAACACTGATTCAATCACAGACAATATATAGATGTTGCAACTGAACCAGACCAATGCTATGGAAGTGCAGGGAGCCATTGGGATTCATTCATTCAACCAACGAGCATCGATGACTATTATTATGCCAGGCCCCAGGCATGTGGAATATAAAGATAAATGACAGGATCTCACCTTCAGGAAGCCCATAGGCCCCTACATTATGTCAGGGATTTTCTCTGATTGGTTTTTGCACTAATGCTCACTTTTCTGCAATCGAGGTACCATCTTAGCATCCAGAGAACAGAGCATGATGTTAAATCTGAGTTTTTAGAGGAAAATCATCTAAACAAGACGCCTTCTACTTCCATATGGATCCCTTGTTGGCACTATCAGATTTGGTCCATCTCAGATTTTCTAGATGCCAATCCTCTCCGTGCCTTTTCTCTCAGGCTTTGCTGACAGAGAAAGCTGCCCCACCTGTCATTACATACTGTGAACCCATGAGATAAGTCCACAGTCAGAAAACTTGTTATAGTGGCAAAAATTAAAACGTATATGTTAGAATAAGCTTTACCAAAAAGTATTTTGCAGAATACTAGTTCTTTGGCATGTTGAACAGTATTAAGACGGGAATAAAAAGGATTCCACAGTCAAGTAAGTTTAGGAAATGCTAACTTTAAAAAATTAAACTATTTATTATAAGACTTCCCGGAAGTGTCACTATGTGAACACATGCATTGTGATTCCACGGCAGGTGAACGTAATATGCAATTTTACCCTCTCTTAATTGATCATAAAACCATTTTTTAAGAGCCACGTTTTTCATATAATATATGTTGTATAAAGCTATACTTCCACTTTTTCATGTAAAATATGAAAAAACCCTCCAAATCAATTACACATGGAAAAAATTGACATTAATACCATGCCTTATTTTAAGTGCTTATAAGAACCAGCTATACCCATCATAGTAAGTAGCATACACTGTAGCTGTGAAAATATGATTACATATATATCTTGGATGAGTGGAGAGACGGGGAAAGCGGGACAGAGGAAGGGAAGAGAATTCAAATTCATAAGCGCAAGCACATTTACATATGTGAATATTCATGATGAGCATTATTGATTAGGTCATCCTTACCCACTCAAGTTTTTCGTTTGAAATGAGCAGCACAATGAGGAAAAACTTAATACAAAGGAAAGTCAAAGGGAAAATTCTGTCCCTACAGCCTTTCAGCACCTTGCACAGGCACCATAAATAAGTGTGCTCACGGAAATGTACCTTTCTCGCGTCCCTCGATTACGCACATTCTTTGAAAAAGACGGCGAATGGCAGTGTGCAGCCACGACTTCAAGGAAATTTTAAAAAGGAAAACTGTGAGAGGTAATTAGGAAATGGAGAATTGTTGGGAGGTGGTGAGGAGTGGGATTAGGCTGTCATGGCAGATTAATGTGCCCCAGTATTTCACTTCTGGGACCTGGCCGAAAGCGACAAGATGGGTTTTCATTCCCAAGAAATGAATATAAGAGATTATGCTAGAAATGAATAGAGGAAGTCTCCTAGGAGAATATACTACAAAGCTGCTCGGTACTGATATTTAATCATCAGGAGCAGCTGTAATAGAGAGGAGGGTGGGTGGGGGCCCTGTCCCCAGAGA